TCATAAGCATCTTTGACTACTCCTTGGCGGCAGCTGAAGATGCATGTTTTCCCCATTGTGATGGTTTTGAAATTAGGATGAGTCTCAGGATCAGTGCGCATACTCAGTATTCTTTCCCTGTCTGCAATTAAATTGATGGCATGTATTATAGTTATGGATGTCTTAGAATCAAGGATACTTGGTGTTCTGTTTTTATTCCCAATGTTTATTAATAACCCTGAGACCTCCGAGAATCTTCTTGGCCTTGGAGGCCTGTTTCCATTTTTTCCCTGAAGAAGTGTAGTCTTTCTCATTAAAGACAGGGCACAGTTCAGTTGGAAGGATTTTGAGGAGCTTCTCTGTATCTGGTGGCAGTTTAGTTCATGTCTGAGAATGAATTCTGGAGCCTGATGGCCTGGCTTAGCACCAGGAGCCACCACTTTCTAGTTGGGTGCCCCTCCCTGGGCCTCACCATCCTTATCTGTGGATCATAACATTCCCTGCCTTTAGGGTTGGTTATCCTTCAATCATCCACTTCACAAATGAGCATCTCCTGTATGTCAGGCACTATTAAAGACCTGAGGATGTGACAAGTGGACAGATTGCACAAAACCTCTACCCTTGTGCACTTATGTTCTGTTGGAGGATACCAATGATAAATGTGCACAATTTTCACTTTAGATGTAAATGCCATAGGGCGGGGTCAGAGGAGTCCCCCACATAGGAGATGAGGACCCCTATTCAGCCCCCCGAGGAGGTTCTCAACTCTCATTGTGGGAAAAGAACTTCAGGGAGCATGAGTGTGAGGCACAGGCAATTTTATTAGGCAGAGCTGGGAAGTGAGGGGGAATAGGACACCGGTTTGGGCTCTGATTCAGGGGTTCAGACTGGCCCAGTCACAGAAGCATGAGGCCAGCTTTTATGGATTAGCTGAGGTGGGCCAGAGTCCAGTCAGTCAGTTACCTCCATTCTGGTTTCTCTGGAGGAATCCTCATGGCTTGAGGGGCAATGTGATTCCCATGAGATGGTTCTCCTTGCTCTGCAGCAGGGGTGACTTGGTTGCCATCATGGGGAAATTGCTCCTGCTTGGAGGAGGTGATCTCATTACGGGGTGGTCTGCAAGGCTCTGCTTTTCCTGGAACCTGAAGAGATTACGGGTTTGGAGACTTCTAGGCACCGCGCCAGGGGGTCTGGAACTCAACACTGCAAAATGCTGACAATTAGGTGTCACTGCAAACCCTGAACAGTATTTGTTACTCTTGTCTTGGTGTCCTCAGAGTTGAAGGAGGATGAGATAGACTAAGTAAATTTAGGGCTGATAAACCTTGCAATACACATACTTCTTAAATGATTAAAATGCCTACATGCATAGCTTAGTAGGGATCTGACCCAAGAGTTTTAATAAGGGAGATAAAAACTTGAGTTTCCTTGCCTCCTTTTTACCTTTATTTATTTTTTCTATCTTACCTCAGTAATTAGTACTTTGCAGAAAAATATAACAGGGAAATAGGGACAGCTAGTGCAGGAGGAGTTGGCAGGAGTTAGTAGACGCAATTAGATTCGACTGGGAGTAACAACCACAACAGTAGCTCAGAAAAGACAAATATTTATTTTGCTATAATAAACGTGGGGAGTCAATGGTGGTTTCATGACCACTAGGGACACAGATTTCTTTTGTCCTGTTGCTCTACCATTCTTTATACCTGGTCAAAGATGGCTGCTGGAATTCCAGCTATTTTGACTGCATTCTAGTCATCAGGAAGAAAGAAAGATATGATGGAAGATATGTCTCCTTTTCCTTGAGAACATTCCCTAGTTCGATGTGACACTTGATGTAAGAACACTTCCCTCTCCTTCCTTTTTGACAGGAATTTAGTCACATAGTTAAATCTCTGAAAAGAGAAAGAATGAAGTTTTCATGTGCCCAGCCAAGAATGAGAGATTTTATTATCAGGAAAGAATGGCTAGAGCAGATATTGGGGTACAATTGCCTGTCTCTGTCACAGGTTATCACAAGGATTTGATTAGATGTTGCAAAGGATTTGGCAGAGAATAAGTGCTTAATATGTATTACTTATCTTTTACCTAAAGTTTTCTCAAAGTGTATGTCTTTGGGAGCTGGTAAACTTTGGGGGGGGGGTAGAGGCTGAAAGGTGCCTGACCTGGCCAAAGAATGGAAAAGCAGCAGATCCTGTCCTTGTGAGTTCGAGGCGAGCCTGGGCTACACAGTGAGTTCAAGGGCAGCCTGAACCACACAGCAAGACCCTGTCTCAAAAAAACCAAAAACAAAACAAGAAACACCTGCTACTTACAGAATAGAATCCAAATTCCACAGTCCCTGACCCTTAGTAAGCATTTGATGCAAATTTACTGAAATAATGAATTAAAAGTGCCTCTGTGATATAGCTGTAATTTACTTTTCAGCCTCTTCCTGTAATTGGGTGGAATATAATCTATAATATAATAGCTGCATTTTAAAGAAATCTCAGGTTATCAAACTGTTATTTAAAAATAATTGGTTTTGTTTTTTTTTGGTACCGGGGATCGAACTTGGGAACTTGCACTTGCAAAGTAGGTGGCAGAACCACTGAGCTAAATCCCTGGCCCCAAAATAATTGTTTTAATATCCATTGCTCGCTCACACAGATACTTCTGTTCCAATTATTTAAATTAAAGAGTGAAAAAGAGGTCTTCATATGAAATAATGAAGCAAAATGGAGAATATCAAGTAGTATCTTGACCAAAGATTTAGGAAGACTCTTCTGCTGGCCTGGACCTAGAGGATCAGACCATGACATTGTAAATGAGTGGGGCTGAGATTGGAGGAGCATTTGAAGGAGAAAAGAGCCCTGGAGGTGGCAGGGAGTCTGGGCTGTGATGTTCAGAAACAGCTTATGGGAAGATCTATTTGTGCTGTCAACTACAGAAAGAATTTCCTGTAACTCAGGGAATCGGGTTTCAGTAAAGATGAGGGGTTTTATTTATGGTGCCAAGATGGAGCCCAGGGCCTTGCACATGGTATGCAAGCATCTTACCACTGGGCTACACCTCCAGCTCCATCCAGTTAAGGTGGTTATTTGATCTTTTAAGCATTCCTGCAGCTACTTCTAAAGAAGACAAAGAAAATTAGGATTTCCCCTGCATAAATGCATCATTCTGAATATGATAGTAGCTAATCCTGTATGACTCCAAAGCCCACACTAAAAGACATCTTTAAAAAAATCAAAATAAAATAGTCACAACATAGTTAGGTTTTAAAAAAATGTTTCAACAGAAAAGAAATAATGAATTAGAGTGTTTTACATTTAAAATTCATAAGTGTTGCCTTGGTCAGGTTGTATGTCCTCCTCTTCTGGTCTCAGCCTCCAGCCCCTAGACCAGTGGTCCCCAACCTTTATGGCACAGGGACTGGTATCATGGAGGACACTTTTTTCCACAAATGGTGGGTGGTAGAAGGTTGGTACTGGGATGATTCAAAGGAGCACACAACCTAGATCCCTTGCGTGCACAGTTCACAGTAGGATTCCCACTATGAGAATCTAAGGCCACTGCTCATCTGGAAGGAGGCAGGGCTCAGGTAGTGACAGCGTTGAGGAGTAGCTATAAACACAGATGAAGCTTCAAGCACTCATCTGCGGCTCACATACTGCTGTGAGGCCTGTTAGGAACCAGTACTGGTACTGGCCCTGGGGGTTGGAGACCCTGCCCTAGGCCACCTGATGAGTACCTATTCCAAACTGGGCAAACATATTAGCCCAGCTCTGGGCAAGTGATTGGTCCAGGCATGAGCATTTGACCCAAGATAGCTAAGTGAACTCTTTTTCCAAGCCTCCACTTCCCCCTAGTTCTGTTTGCAAGATGAAGTGCTTAACTTGGTGCCTTTTGCAACTAGGGTCTAATTATAAGGAGAAAGACTAATGATAGTAGAGGAGACAAACAAACAAGCAGGAAAAAGCTGGGGCAAGATGGGGGAAGGAGAAGGAGATGAATAAATGCTTGTGCATTTGAGCCCTGGCTCCGCATGTGCTGGAGTCCAGCTTCAACACTGAGTCTTTTCTAGTACTATTGGTCTATGATTTTTCCTTTCTGGCTTAAACTGGTTTGAGTTGGGTGAGGAGTAGGCTTAGAGTGAGTCAGATGAAGCATTTAAGGTGCAAACTTTAAGGGGGCATGTGTAGGAAATAGACTATGGGCCCCTCCTTATATTTTGCATCACTGGCTCCTCACTTGCCACCCCTTAGTCTTTGACCATGAGATGTGCTTCACTGACTTGTAACAGAATACATTCTTGGCTAATAGCAGCTCTACCTGTATTTTGTAAATGCAGGCTAAAAACATTCTATTAGCAGTATATCTTATAGAACACAGACAACTGGATCAAGTACATGGTTTCTAGGTTAAGAGAGGAAATCCTAGCCAACTTCTCTCTTCATTAGGGAGCATGGTTTGTGTTGGATATCGCTGAGTCACATATCACTGCAACTCTCTCAGAGCTCCTCCTGCTGACTTGTGTTAGGGTTCATGGGACAGAAACTGTGCACTCACTCCCCTTCTGTAGATGACAGCATTTGCAACAGTGCTTGTTACATAGAAGCTGCTGGAAAAAATTTGCTAAGTTGAATCAAACAGGACCCCAATTTTTGATGACTCCATGCTAATCTAAGAGTAGAGTGCTCCCCCTTTCTGGCCTAGTTGACTAGCTGTTTTCTCCCTGACCAGGGTGATTAGCTCAGGGATGGTGTGTTAGTTACTTTTCTTATTGCTGAGACAAAATATCCAGCACCCAAAGTTAAAGGAGGAAAGGTTTATTGTAGCTCACAGCATGTAGAGGTTTCAGGTCATAGTCACTGGCTCCAAGGCAGGGTGGCATGGCAGAAGGGCATCTCAGAGGAGAAACAGTTCATGGCAGGCAGAAGGCAGCAAAGCAGCAAGCAACAGCAGCAGCTCTCTCTCTGTCCCTTATATTCCATCCAGGCTACCTGCTCTCAGGGCAAGTAGCACTCACACCCAGGGTGGGGCACCCTTTATCCCAGCATAGCACACTTAATCCCAGCATCAACTCCCTAGATCCAGCTACCTCAGAAAAGCCCCACCTATGACCATGAAGCTTTTGGGGGACGTAGACTCAAATCCCAGGACTTTGGGAGTCCCAAACTGTTATGGTTTATATCTATATAAAACATAGGGAGGGAAGAGAGAGAGGAAAGGGAGAAGGAGAGGAGAGAGGGGAGAGGAAGTGAGATAGACAGAGCAATATGTGTCCTGATGATGGAGTTTAGAACCCTAGATCCAGCCAATCCAGCATTTTTCAGTCATTTCAACAAAAAGATTTTAGCTTTTTTTCTTACACAAGTTTGACTTGGGTTTCTGTATTTGTCACTGAAGGGATCCTTATTAATAAATTTTAAATTTTCTGTATCTGTGAGGACACTATTGGTGAAAGTACTTACCAATGACCAATTCACTGGTTTGATGATAAACTTTACACAGTAAAATTTATTATCTCATAAGAAGTTTGATCAAAACTCCAACTCCGTTTCACTATGATCCTCTTAATTTTTCCTTTCTCTGTGTACTGGTCTTGGTGGCAACAAGATGGCTTCTATACATTCAGAATTCAGATAAATTGGCCAGAGGCAGATAATGGACTGTCTCTTCCAGCCTGTGCTTCTTAAGACTTTTCCTAGGAGCTCCTCAGCAGACCTCACCTGCTGGGAGCGATGCGCTGTAGATCACTATGGCTAGGCCTTACTCGCCTCCTTCCCATGGAGAGCATGGTGGAGCAAGGCCTGGCCAAGAAGAGGACTATTTTCCTTCCCACCCATTCCCATTTGCCAGAGAAACATCAAGCATTATCTCCTGCAGACTCTAGCCATTCTCTGTTCCAATCAGGCATCCTCTTTTGGTTTCCTTATCTACACTATAAATAAAGGTGCTGAGGATGCAAGTCAAGCTTTTTGTCTCATCAGGACAGAGAGTTTCCACCTGGCCTAAGCCATGTAAACTTTACTGTCGTCTTTGTCTTCTTTGTCTTATTAAGTTTCTTAATCTCTCACCTTCATTTCTCACTCTGTGAACCCTTTAGTCACGTGGGCTGTGGCACCCACCTCCTGCCTTCTGATTGGACAGCCCATGTCACATGGCCATTTCTAAACCAATCCTTGGCCCTGGCTGGTTGGACCACCCTGGGTGGCTGGGTCTGAGGTCAAGGTCCACCTCCCTGTAGCAGAGACTCCTGTATTTGTCCCTTTCTCTCCAGGACCCAGAGTCTGTTTTCTCTCAGGTTCCATCCTATACTGCACAGACAACTCCCTCCTGTGCTGGGGAAAAGCATTTTGCTTGAGCTTGTTCCCTGTCCAGCTGCCATACTATTTCCCTAGTTCTTCTATTGGAGGTAGATGGGCTCTCGGTTGGCTATGCAGAAGGGCTCTTTTTCCAGTCCTTTCCTCAGGATAGACCAGGGCCCTGGACAGCAGAACTAAGGCCAAGGAATGGAAGTGTCAGAAATTCAAGATGGGTGACAACAGATTCCTTGTTAGGTAGTCAGCTCTCCACCAAGGATGGTGTTGGAGCAATGGTGACATGACTGTCTTTGAGTCAGTGTAGACAGATTTCACCTACTGGGGGCACCTGGATTTGTCCATTCATTCATTTATTTATTCAACAACTATCCATTAAGTTCCTACTATATACCAGGTAGTGAGTTAAGCATTGACAATATGGCAGTTCACACATACAGCTGGGTGCAAGTAGTGGACACCTGTAGTCCCAGCTATTTGAGAGGCAGGATCTCTTGAGTCCAGGAGTTCAAAGCCAGCCTGGAGAGCATAACAAGACCCTGTTTCTAACAAGTGCAAGTGGAAGGACCCAAGTTCGATCCCCGGTACCAAAAAAAAAAAAAAAAAGAAACAAACAAACAAAAAACTTGCCAAAGATAGAGCTCCTGGGTGCATTCAGTTTAGAATTTATCAGGAGAGATGAATCTTAAATGAATAACAATGCACCTAAATACATAATTACAGGCTATAGTAGGATGATCCCCCAAAGTCTCTTCTAATCAGAGACTTATAATTTCATATGTAAGATGCTTATCTGACTGGCACATAGTAGATGTTCAATAAATGTTCTTGCTGCTGTTATGCTCTAACCACAGAAGCCCTTTGGTTACATTTTGGTCTCTCAACCATCTATAATACTGTCCTTATATGACCCATTTGCCATTTAGTCACATAGCTTCATTTTATTATTCAACTTTTAATTTCTTTTTATAATAATAGTAATTTTTTTCATGAATTCTACAACTTTCAACTTACCAAATGATGCTGAATAGATTTAACTGGTTAAAAAAATAAGTTATTCAAATCCGTCAAATTCTTTGCCTCCATTTTGTAGCTCAAGAACACAAGTAATATGGGAAAGGAGAATTCCTTACTGGTCTGCAGCAAGTTTCACACATCAAAGTGGTCCTGTGTGGAAAGCAAGGATCTTACCTCGTTTTCTAGCTGAGGAAACTTAAGTTTCACCATGTTGAAATGGTTTGGCCAGCACTTGACAGGAGAATGTGTTTCTTTCTCCAGTCTTCAGGTGGCTTGAACAGAATGCCAGCTGAAAGGCACCCAGAGAAGCATCTACTTCCAATTTTAGTATATGTGCTGCCGAAGCGAGCACAAGAGAAGCATCTACTTCCATCTCCCCAACTTACAGGTGAGAAGCTGAGGCACCAGCAGGTAATGGCCCCACCAGAGGTGACATGGCAGGTGTATAGCTGAACCTGAGGTAGGACTTGGGGTATCGGACTCCAAGTCTGTCCCAGTTCACCCTTTCCCAACCTACAGGGTACCAGTGCCTTCCCATCTACCAGTTGGCTTTTTATAACCAGGTGAGGCTGGAAGTAAAGTGGTAACAGGAATGGTCACAGGGCCTGCAGGCAAACAGCAAGGCTGAGGCTTCAGAGGGCCCCTGTACACAGTCCAGGGTGGGGCCCAGTTAGAGCCTCAGCACGCCCTTAAGTCTGCAGACCTTCCAGGCTTTTCCTTCTTCATCTCCCTTTCCCAGCCCCATGCTCCAGCTTTGCCCTCCGCAGTCTGTTCTCCTAGTGCCTCCCTGTGACTAAAAATATCAACTGCAGCAACGACTGAACACCTGTTCCCAGGAAAATCTTGAGATGGTAGAGACCAAAGGACCCTTAGAGATTATTTCACAGCTTGCGTTTTCCCAGTGGTGGGCTGACTTGAGCCTAGATTAGAATCCTGGCTTCCAGGCCAGTACTTCAAATGGGCTGTCACTGACTAAATATTTGAAAAATAGTGATGTGTGTGATTCAAGTAAGTCAATGACCCAATCAATTGTCAAGTTATTTTTAGGATCAAAAATGTGAACTAAGGGGCCGGGGATTTAGCTCAGTGGTTTCACTGCCTGCTGTGCAGACTCAAGGACCCGAGTTCAATCCCTGGTACAAAAAAAAAAAAAAAGCGAACTAAATCAAAGTTAGTTTTGTTTCCTGATTAAGCATATAGCTCTAGAGAAAGAAAGAGTTGGCTGATCCCACCCCTTCAGCTCACTGAGTCTCAATTTCTGTGTCTATAAAATAGAGATGAAATAGCCCTGAACTCCTTTGCAGGTGTGAAGCAAGAATGGCGTGAGATGCTGCGTGTGAAGCACAGTGCCAGGCTTGCCAAAATTCATTAAAGGCCTAAATGTAAAACCTAAAGCTATAAAACTTTTGGCAGAAAACAGGAGAAAATTTTTGTGATGTTAACTTAGGCAAAGATTTCTTAGATGCAACATTAAAGGCATGATATATAAAAGAAAACAAAAGAAAGTTGGACTTCATAAAAATTCTGAACTTCTGCTCTTCAAAAGACAATCTATAGAAGACAAAGTCAAGCCACAGATTTGAAGAAAATATTGGCAAATGACATATTTGTTAAAGGATTTGTATCCAAAATGTGTGAAGAACTCTCAATAATCAGAAAACTAACAGCTCCCCCCCAAAACAGGCAAGCCAGGTGTGGTGGTGCATACCTGTAATCCCAGCACTCAGGAGGCTGATGGAGGAGAATCCTTGAGCCTAGGACTTCGAGGTCAGCCTGGGTAACACAGACAGATCCTGTTTCAAAAATAATGACAAAAAATGGGCAAAATATTTGAACACATACTACAACCACAAGGATATATAGGTGGCGAATAGCACATAAAAACATGGTTAACATCAACAGTGATTAGAAAATGCAAGATGAGGTATCATTACACATCATTAGAATGTTCAAAACTCAAAAGGCCTTTCATACTAAATATTGGTGAGGATGTGGAAGGCCTGTGTAAACTCTCATACACTTCTGGTGGAAATGTAAAATGGTACAACCATTTGGGGGAACTGTTTAGCAATTTCTTTAAATTTCCTCTCTAATTCTCAAGTAGCTTTAGTAGAATCTTGCCTGAAAGATGCCAAAGCAAGCACTTACTTCCATCTCCCCAGCTTACAGGTGAGAAGCTGAGACTTCAGCAGGTGATAGCTTGCTGGAGGTGACATGGCAGGTGTACAGCTGTGCCTGACTCTAAGTCTGTTCCAGTTCACTTTCTCAGCCCCTGCAGTATTGGTGCCTTCCAGTGACCAAATGACTTGTTTAGAACCAATGGATTCCCTCAATTTCATGTGATCCAGCCCCTGCAGTCCTAGGAGTTTATCCAAGAGAGATAGCTCATGACTGTACCAAGACAAATAAAAGCATAAATGTTCACAGAACTATTTGTAATAGTTAAAAACTATAAACTATCCAAATGTCCATCAATAGGTAAATGGGTAAACAAGTTGTATATTCATACAATGGAATATTGCTTGGCAATAAAAAGGGAATGAACTACTATTAATACATGCAACATGGAAAAATCTCAAGAGAATTATTATTCTGAGTGAAATTATCCTACTCTGAGCCAGAGGGGAGAGAATATATACTGCAAACTGATCTAGAGACAGGAAGCAGATGGGTAGTTGCCTGGGGATGACTGAGGGTGAGTGACGTAGGAAAGGGATTACAAAAAGTGAATGAGTTTGGAGAATATATTCACTGTTGTGATATTGGTGACAATTTCACAAGTGTAGACATATGGCAAAAATGATAAAACTAGCTGGGGATTTAGCTCAGTGGTTTTGCCACCTGCTGCACAAGTGCAAGGACCCAAGTTCGATCCCTGGTACCAAAAAAAAACTCAACCAAAGATTATAAAACTATGCACTTTAAGTATGTATTTATTGTATGTTGATAAAGCTGTTAAAAAAGAAAAGTAGAGTGCCTGGCCCCTAACACTGCCTTATGGGACTTCGTGGTGAAGCAAGGACTGGTCAGTTGCCCCCAGAGACTCATCCTTCTCCTGTAGCATATGGTGCCTGTCACTCCATCTGGGAGAACCCTTTTCTTTTAACAAGATCTCCCACCTTCTCTGCTGGAACCTTTGGCTGCACAATGGTATACAAGTCCCACTGATCCAAAGGAGACTGAGAAATTGAACCCACTGGGTATAGACCCAACCCCAACAGCATGTCATCTCTTTTAGGACATCCTCAAAGCCTACATTCTTCTATGATCTTCTGACAGCAGCAACATCATAGGTGAAAAGTGGATAACTCACTGACAGGTAAATCTGATTCCTTCCTCTTTTGGCGTTTCACAAATTATCTTGAATTGTAGTCTTTGGGTGCTGTCCCACCTTTACTAAATTGTATCCCAACACATTTCCTTTTTGACATGGCTACTGCGAAGCTCACAGTCAAGATGGGGTTCAACTGTATGATTAACTCATCCTAGGTGTCTATTACTAGGTATTTTCCTGCTCTTGTTAACTGATTTTCATTTTTTCTTTATAACTGTATTTATTTCTGATCTGTTTTATAGTGTGTTCTATTTTATGAAGTCTCAGATTTGTTTTACAAATTGGTAGGGTTTAAATAGTTGTAAAAGGGCTAGGGATTTAGCTCTGTGGCACCACACCTGCCTTGCAAGCGCAAGATCCTGAGTTCGATCCCTGGTACCAAAAAAAAAGTTGTAAAAATTCTCCCCACACCCCTTTGCAAGATTAGAGAGCATGTCTTGGACATTACTCCTGTATGCCACTGTGTGTGGGAGAGAACAGTGTGTGGCATGAATGCTCATTTAAACTATGTTCAGGCTGGAGCTGGGGGTGGTGGTGGTGCACACCTGTAATCCTAGCCCTCAGGGGGCTGAGGAGGATTGTGAATTCAAGGCTAACCTGAGCTACATAGCGAGACCTTGTATCAAAAAACAAAACAAAACAAAAATCAAAAACAAAACAACCCCCCCAACAAAAAATAAATGGTTATAGTTTAGATCTAAAATGCCTAAATGTATTCAGAAGTGGGGCTTTTGGAAGGTGATTGGATTGCAGGGGCTCTATATTCACTAATGGTCTGATGAGAATCTGCTGTGTTGGGGGAGAGCCACTGGAGGCATAACTTAGAAGGATGTATTCTTGTGCCCCACAGCTCCCTTTGCTCTACTTCCTGGCTGCCATGGGTTAAGCAGATTTCTTCTGCTGTGCCCTTCCACCATGACATTTCTGCCTTGGAGCCAGCTGACCATGGACTAAACTCTCTGAAACCATGAGCCAAATAAACCTCTCCTGTCAGTTTCAGGTGTAAGGTATTTTGTCAGGGGGTGGGGGGGAGGGAGATATCAAACGGGAAGATCACTCAATAGTAGAGCATTTGACTAGGATGTTCAAGACTCTAGGTTTATTCCTTAGCACAACAAAAATTGTTGCATATATTAGATAATTTTTGATAATTATGTTAGGGGCTCTACCAAGGGAAAGTTCTATAAGGAAGCTGGATGCTATTATCAACATCTTTTCTGTTTCCTGTTTCCCATGGCACCTGTCTGGTCATATTCATGCAGATACTAAGGCGACTGATCTTGTATCTATTTGGCCCCTGGGGAATGCCTAAGAAGCATTTACCCAGTGATTTTCATGGAAGTTTTGCTCCTCTGAAGGCATATGTGAGTTTAAGTCTCAGGTGATATGCTTTCAGTCATGGCACTGTCCTCACTAACCTGTCTGTCCCAGGTCAGCTCCCCCACCCCCTAGAAGCTCCGCCTGATGCCTTAGGAACTTATCTCACTTTGTCCAAGTTAAGGATGCATTTTAACTTGTGATTCAGTGAGGACAACCATTCCAAGCTGGGAATGGTTCCCTAGTGACATGTGACTGCAGCTGAAATTGCCCATCTCTCATCGGCCAGCCTAACAAAGCCTGCATGATACAATTTTCAAACTTTCCAAATATGATGTGCTCAGCATGGCTAATGAAGGATTTCAGCCTTTGGCAAAAAAGGCAGAGTTATTTAAAACCAAATTGTCTCATTTTTTTAAAAAAACAAACTCAAAAGAAACCCATAAAAGGGCCTGGAGGATAAAATAAGAAAGTCTGTGGGGGAGCCCCCCCCCCCCCCCGCTATAGATTATGCCCAAAGCAGGCTGTAGCAATGCAGGCTGTAAAGAGTTAACCCCACAATTGGGTTGTTTATAGAAGTGAGTCTGGCCGGAGCCTATATGCTGAGGTCAGAGTGACTCTTACCCAAATTCCATTCCTAGAATTTAAACCTTCTTTACTAAAAAGACAAGGTTATTTGCTAACCACAAGCTATATTTTGTCTGTTCTGTTCCTAATTCAAGAATACTTTGTCTCTTCCTTTACAAGCCTTACCTTCATCAACAATGCATCCTTAACAACTACATGTAGCCCGTTTACTCTGACCTGTGATGTCACTAATAAATATCAGTGGCTTTGGTTGGCCAGGGCCTTTGGTTGCTCAAGCACTGGACATCCTGGCTCCCCATATCTGTCTCTTTAACTCTGTCTCTGTGTCTTTTTTCTCACCTTGTGCTGTAGCACAAGCAGATAAGAATCTGCTGCAGGGGTCTCTGGTAAAGGTCCAAGATAGGACCCTAAACAAGAACTCCTAACCTATTTGTGATGGAGACACTCCCCTAGTTTTCAATTTTATGGCCTCCTCTTTGTTCTTTCCCTTGGTGTGTAAGGATATGGGAATTTTGATTGTTAAGAACAAAACAGGTTAGATCATGCCCTTGCTCAGCCTCAAAAAACTTTAGTGGATCCCATCCCCAAAATGATGGAGTTTAAAGTTTTGCTTTGGCATTCAAGGACCTATAGGATATGACCTCAACCCTCCTTTTCAGTTACATGCTCCTTGTTCTCTGTCACATGTCTTGGGCTCCACCCATCCTGCTCCACTCTTGCAAGCCTTGCACTTTTGCTCATGTTTCCCTGCTGCATGAAGTCTTCGGTACTCCCATACTGGTCTGCCACTCCATCCTCCCTTCTGTTGACAGAACTCAAATCCCTTTCTAGGTGAGAATAAAGAGCACCCTCACAAGTGCATGCCACTGGTGGCACTGCCTTAATTCCACTAGGCCTGGGACAATAGGTTGTATTCATCAGACCCTAAGTAGCCAGAGACAAGATCCTGGCTGAGTAAGGTTATATTCCCAGAGCCTTGGATGCAGAAGACCCTTGGAATTGTTGGTCGTGGAGTGACTGGACTTTTTTTTTAATTCAAGTTTTATTAATTCAAAGTACGCCATACATTTATATCCAAAAGGTACAAAAAATACCTGTCTGTTGTCTAGCCACCTAGTTTCCTTCTGTGGAAAGAGCTAATTATGATTAGCTTCTTGTGAATCTTTCCAGAGACATGCAAATATGTTCTTCCTTCTTTTAAAAATAAGTGGGGTCCACCCGGGATTTAGCTCAGTGGTTTTGCCACCTGCTGTGCAAGTGCAAGGACCCGAGTTTGATCCCTAGTACCAAAAAAAAAAAAGTGGGGTCATACAGTTCTGTAGTCCTCTTTTTCACTCTTAAAATTTATCTAATCAATTGGATCTTGATAACATGTAGGTTCATTCTTCATTTAAAAAGTGCACCAATGGGTGATCTTGATTTGGGTCACTATACTCATCTTTGTAGTTTCAAGAATTTAAAGTGTAACCTGTACAAAATAGGTTAACAAACAATTTCTTTTACAGATGGATGTTTAGGATCAGATTTTTAGGTATCCCTGATTATTTTAGGAAGGAAATGCCTTATGGTGGTCAGAAAAGGTCCATGACCGACCACCTGGGTGTGAAGCCCATCTCCATTACTTTTAGTTGTACGATCCTGAGCAAGCTCAATGAGCCCGTTTCCTCATCTGTAATCTGCACTACAGCAGGGTTGTGAGGATTAAATGGAGACCTTAAAAGCTTTTATGTAACAGTATCTGACAAATAGGCACCCAATAGCTGCTGTTACGTTTATTTAATAAGCAATATATTATTCTACGTGGTGATGGCAGATTAAGAGGCTACTTAGGGGACCTAATTTGTTGTCTTGAAGTAGAGATAAGGGCTGTGGGGTTCTGTAAAATCCTCAGCAGTACGGTTTTGAGTACATTCTCTAACCTCTCTGGCCTGCTTCGTCATCTGTAAAAGAGGACAGAATAAAGTCCAGGTCTTAAGGCTTGCCCTAAAGCTTAAATGTGTAGCAACATTCTTAAGTGCTTAACACATAATTCTTCCCTTCAATCTAATGGCAGAGACCTCATCAACCCATAAAAGCCAGAGGGACGAGACCAGGGCGACGTGGACGACGACCCATGAGCCCCGTGTTGAAGAGAAACAGTCACTGAGCGGTAGAAAGTCGCGGAGTTCCGCAAAACCGCTCCCACACAGGAGCCGGCGGAAACCCGTCTTCCGGGAAGCCTGAGCAATTCGGCGGTCACCCAGGCAACTCCATTTTCCGGTCCCCTTTGTCCCACCTAGACTTCCTGTTTCCGCGCGACGTCACTTCCGGGTGACTGTCTGGGGGTTTCCGGGAGGGGCCTCCAGGAAGGGTCCTCGTTGGTCGAGGGTGGGGGCCGGTGAAGCGGGGGTTTCGCGGTCCTGTCCTCCTTACGTTCGGCACCTGGGGCTCGGCGCCGCCATGGACAGTGGGGGGCGGCCCTCGCTGGGCCAGGTTATCCTCCTGGGCACTAGCTCCGTCGTCACCGCCATCCTGTACTCGGTGTACCGGCAGAAGGCCCAGGTCGCGCAAGAGCTCAAGGTCAGTGCTGGCACCGGCCTGGACTCAGCCAGGTCATCTCTGCCCTGGGCCTGGTAATCCCGTGATTCTTCTGGGCCGCTACATAGTCGGAAACTCCAGAATAGGAACCCGGCTCTGAGAAGGTGTCCCCCAGTCAATAGAGGAGCGAGGATCACAGTTGGGGTCTGTGATAACGGCCACTCTGCCCTTTTTCTTCAGAGATCCTCTCGTTACTCTAAAAGACTTTCGAGTTTATTAGTTTGTTCGAAAAATATTTCTCGGACACCTGCTGTGCACCATACTGTGAGTAGAACAGACAGAAGTTTCTGACTTCCTGGAAATTCCTTTCTAGTACATATACAGATGTTAAACACTTTTATCAGGTGGTATGACATGGTGAGACGTACTTTAGGAAGAGGGGAGATGAAAATGCTAGGGAAAGGTGCGTTGCCGTTTTAAAAGGTGACATTTTTTACAGAACCAGGAGGACTTGGGAGGGACATGGGGGTATCTAAAGAGCAGTTCAGACTGAAGGAAGAGTAAGTGCAAAGACCCTTTTAACTTAACAACTCAGCTCCTTGCTTCTACAAATGGTTCCTTTTTATATTATAGGGCATTTTTTTCTTCCCTAGTACTGGGGGTTGAACGGAGGGTCTTCTCACGGTTATATCCCCCTCCCCCCGCCGCCTTTATTTTTTAAATTATGAGAGTCCAAGTTGCCCAGGTGAGCTTGAACTTGCAGGCCTTCTGCCTCAGCCTCCCAGAGTGCCTGTATTACAGGTCAGTGCCACCACACCCAGGTATATTTAGTTCTTTTTTAAAATAACACTGAACTGCACTTTACAGTTTTCATAGCACATTTCCATCTGTTTTATTGTTCTGTACAATAATTTTCTGAGATGGATAAAATGACAGTTATTTCTCAGTTGTAAAGCAGGAAATGGAGATTCAGAGGGAAGGTCATACATCTAATCAGCATGGAACTTAAATTTAGGTCTTTTGAGCACAAAGGTAAGACTTTTCTGATTGACCACATTGCTTTGTTACTTTTTTTTTTTTTGATACTGGGGATCGAACTCTGGTCCTTGTGCTTGCGAGGCAGGCGGCGGAACCACTGAGCTAAATCCCCAGCCCCCACATTGCTTTGTTGTGATTGTGGGAACAGTCTAGAGAGATTGGCCTCTTTAGGTTAAAGACAAGATCTTATCTTTCCTGTTTTCTCCTGAGTTCTAACTCAGAGTTTGACAAGTCATAGGTGCTCAATAAATGGTGGTGGGTTTGTTTTGTCTGGAATTTCACAGTTCATTGGCTAAAGGCCTAAATAGACACTTGTAGAAAAGGTGGATTCCCAAACCCAATTTCTATGTCATCAGATTGTTTTCAATAAGGGCTTGGAAACAAATGAATGAAATCCCTGCAGGGCAAGAAGTTTTGGAATCTGGAATGAATCACTTTATGAGGCAATTGGACTTGTTGAGCAAATGGCATTCTAGTGAGATTCCAGCTGCCCTGTTGTCCACTTAATTACAAAATCAAGTTACTCCTGATTGGCTCTGAGTGTAACTGATACTTCACTTTCTGACTCCGAAACCAATTTGGCTTCAAGTGGGTTGGATGTGAGACTCTTTAAAGCAAGGAACTCTCCAGGCCTCATCTTTGGGTTACCTTAAAAGCTTTGCCAGTTAGTTTCTAAAGGAGGATGAAGCAGCCCCTTCCTGGGAAAAGATTTGGGGCCCCTAATATTTTAAATTCTCTTTCCTTGTTTCAGTTACAAAACTTTCAGAGTAGAGTTTGTGTCTTGTCTTGTATGTTTCTCACAGTGATGGAAGGTATAATTATTGCATGCCCCTCATGTGCCATCCCTAGGCTGGATTCTTCCACACCTGAAAGTTCATTTAATCCACATTAAAAATCTTAGGTTTTCCTCAGCCTTTGCTGTTTTGGGAAATAAGGATCAGGTGAACTAACTTGCCCAAAGCCACAGTAGATACATTGAAGCTTGATTCGACCCCAGATCTTTCTGACCATATTCTCCATTCCTCCACCCCTTAAAATTCTCATCTGCCATCCTGTGTTGGATTCTTTTTTTTTTAATTATTTTTTTATTTTTTTTATTTTTAATTTTTATTTTTTCTGTGTTGAATTCTTTACTAGCTGTGTGACTTTGGCCAAATAACTTTACCTCTCTGAGCCGCAGCTCCCTTTTTGTAATTGAAGATAATAATGCCTACTGTGTAGAGATGCTATCAGCATTAAATAGGTTTAGGCATTTAACATGGTTAGCATAGTGCCTGGTAATAGTATATCTAAGTCCTTAATAAGTCACTACTTTATTCATCAGATATATATTGAGTGGTTGCTGTGTGTCAGGCACTGTTCTTGGCACTACGAGAGATTCCATTCTAATACAGCTAGACAGACAATAAACACTTGATCAGATAGTATGACATGTGAGAAAGGTTTAGAGTAAGGCAGGGAAAAGGGAGCACAGAAAGGTGAGAACTAGGGAGAAGTAGGGAATGTTGGAGGAAGACAGCAGTAGAAGTAACTGTACTTGGTTCATTGTGAGAGGGAAGAAAGACAAATTTAAAAGTAGAACAGTGTTGGACATCAGTTAACAGAGACTTGCCCTAATAAAGCACGGGCACCCCTTGGTAATGTACAGTACAGAGCATCAGTTCCTAAGGCACGATAGTAATGGCACCTGCCATTTTTTGAGCCCCTACCATGTACTAAACAGGAGATTAGGTGCTTTATACCTGAACTCTTTGGGCCATAGCTCTATGTTGTCAAGAAGAAATTTAAGTGATGTTCATTCAGCAGTATGCGAATTGACAAGTACCTTTTATATTTTCGGAAAGAAGCATTCAAATTAAAAGGAGTGTTGTTTTGGGTAACTGGATACGAGTGTATTGGCAACTCCATTGTGCAGTGATGGAAGAGGCCAGAAACAATTCCTTGACCTGTTTACATGCTAAAAATTCTGGGAAACACTTTGAAATCAGATTTTCTGTGCGCTCCTTCCTGTCCAATTTCCTCATTCTTGCAACTTAAAAAAGCAAACAATCATTTTTTTTTGCCCTTAAGTTTGAGCATGTCAGTATTCAGTGGATAATTTCATATGTTCTTTTTTGCATTTAGGGAGCTAAGAAAATCCACTTGGGTGAAGATTTAAAGAATATTCTTTCAGAAGCACCTGGAAAATGTGTGCCTTATGCTGTTATCGAAGGTATGTTTGTTTAGTGATAAATGGAAAACAATTTCCTTCTTCCAAAAGTTTGGTAAAGGTCCCTTTGGCTGTCATTAAGTGCCTTTTATTTTGTTGAGACCAGAGTTCAGAATGTACTTTGGAGGGCTGGGGATTTACCCCAGTGGTTCTGGTGCCTGCCTCGCAAGTGCAAGGTCCTGAGTTTGATTCCTGGTACCAAAAAAAAAAAAAAACCAAAACCCCCAAAACAACAGAATGTACTTTGGATTCAAAAAACCTGGGTTATTGCCATCTAATGTTGGGCAAGATTACTAGAACCTTTCATATCCTCTGACTATTTTATTTTATTTTATTTTGGTACTGGGGATTGAACTCGGGAACTTGCACTTGCAAGGCAGGCAGTGGCACCACTGAGCTAAATCCCTAGCCCTCCTCTGATTATTTTAGAGATTATGGGTTATTATAAGACTTAAATGATGTTATCTATGTAAGATACTTATCAGAGTTCTCCTAAAACATAGCCTGTGGTAATATAGATGTCATTTTGATGAATTAATGTAAGTCAAACTAAAAACACATTTTGAATTACCTCAAGGAGATGACAGAACTGTTCTTCAGAAATCAAGCGATTTATTTCTACTTAGGAGCTGTGCGATCTGTTAAAGAAACACTCAACAGCCAGTTTGTGGAGAACTGCAAGGGGGTGATTCAGCGGCTGACGCTTCAGGAGCACAAGATGGTGTGGAATCGAACAACCCACCTTTGGTGCGTATCCTTTCTTCCCTGTAGGACCCTACTTCCAGTCTGTTCAGAGGCTGGGTCCTGGCTTCTGGTGCTGTCTTGAGCTCTCCTGAGACAGGTTGAAGACCAGCTGGGTATGCTCTGTGGGCCTCCATCGGAATCCCCTAGGCAGCTTGCTACCATGGAGATTCCTAGGCCTACTTCCACACCTACCAAACCAGAATTTACAGCATAGGGGACCTGGAATCTGTTGATTCTTAGGCATACTAAGGTTTGAGAATCACTATTATAGATTAATGATTTCAGTGTTTAAAATAATTTTGTACCACTACATAGAATACCATTTTTCCATCTGATCCTAGGCGGGTTTTTGTCTCACATATTTATTTGACAGAGAAAAGGGGAATAAATGATAAAGATGATCTATGACAGTAGTTGTTGCCCACTGATACTACCCGAGGACCTAAAAAACTGAGCCTCCTTATGGTGAGGTCTTGAGTTGTGATTTCACTTGTATCCTCCAATTACTTCAACCTTGAGCCTGTTGTCCTGGTGCATAGGTGATCTCTTACCTTTCTTGGGTGCTTCGTACTTGCCACCCTTTGTTTCATCTTCAGTTCTGTTATTCTTTTAGGAATGACTACTCAAAGATCATCCACCAGAGGACTAACACGGTGCCCTTTGATCTGGTGCCACACGAAGATGGTGTGGATGTGGCTGTCCGAGTGCTGAAGCCCCTGGAGTCAGTGAATTTGGGTTTAGAGACTGTGTACGAGAAGTTCCACCCCTCAGTCCAGTCCTTCACGGATGTCATTGGCCACTACATCAGTGGTGAGCGGCCCAAAGGTATCCAGGAGACTGAGGAGATGCTAAAGGTGGGGGCCACCCTCACTGGGGTTGGAGAACTCGTCCTGGACAACAACTCGGTCCGCCTGCAGCCCCCCAAACAAGGCATGCAGTACTATCTGAGCAGCCAGGACTTTGACAGCCTGCTGCAGAGGCAGGAGTCGAGTGTCAAGCTCTGGAAGATCCTGGCCCTGGTGTTTGGCTTTGCCACGTGTGCCACCCTCTTCTTTATCCTCCGGAGGCAGTACCTGCAGTGGCAGGAACGCCTGCGCCTGGAGCAGATGCAGGAGGAGTTCCGGGAGCGTGAGGCCCAGCTGCTGAGCCAAGCCTCGCCGGAGGACAGGGAGAGTCTCAAGAGTGCCTGTGTCATGTGTCTGAGCAGCTTCAAGTCCTGTGTCTTTCTGGAGTGTGGCCATGTGTGTTCCTGCCATGAGTGCTACCGTGCCTTGCCAGAGCCCAAGAAATGCCCCATCTGCCGGCGGAAGATCACCCGGGTGGTTCCCCTGTACAATAGCTAACAGCCTTGCGGCCACACAGGTGAACCTGGAAGCAGCTCCCCCTCCTCAGGGAGTTTGTCCTGAGCCCTCTAGAAGAGCTGCAGTGGGGACTGCTGTACATCCAGGGGTGACTGAGCCAGAACTGTCCAGACCCACACCTCTACCAGCAGGGCCGTTGCCTTTCCAGCCCAGAGCAGGTTGGGGAGCCCCGCTCTGCGTGGAAGCCGTGGCTGGCATCTCTTCCTGAGAAGCAGATTGATGTGGGGGAGACTGGAAGGACCCCATTGCCTGAGCACCAGTGCTCTCTTGGACCTCACTGGGGATGTTGATTGCTGTGGCTCTGGGAGGAAAGGCTGGGCCCTGAGGGCCTCGCAGAGCTGCCTTTGGGGATGCTCTTCTGTAGCTTTTCTTCTTTTGCTTCCACCCAGAGAAAAGGTCTTCCTTCAGAATTGTCAGGCTGGACCAGTCACTTGTGTCCCTTTCTCCTCAACTCCTGGCCTAAATGTGTGCACATGTGTAAGAGGACAAAGGAAGTGAGGTCAGCCCCTCTGCCTCTGCCCAAACAGGTGGGCCACAGATGAGCAGAAAGACAAGAAGGGTCTTGAGGGGTGATTGTCAGCCCTTCTAGTGTCCCCTGACCCAGGAAGGTCCTGCCGAGAGCACACCTCCGTCCTGATGCGGAGCTCCTGCAGCTTGCAGGGCCCCGGGCAGCTCAGGTTTCCCAGCTGGGAGATGAGCCAGGGAGCCGACCTGAAGGAAGCAACAAGGACATTGCTGAGCTGGCCTTCTGGCTCTTGTAGCTTCTTCGGTCGCTTTCACCAAGGAAAAGTAGCCAGCACCCAGAGCACCCAGCTGTTCAGGGCTGCTTTCTGTCCCTGGCCTGTGGCAGAGGTAACATCCCAGGGGGGCAGTCACATTTCTTGGCTGTGTCACCCTTCACCCCCTTCCTGCCCCTGTTGAGCCTGTGAGTACAAGAGAAGTTGGGGACCACCCTTCTCCACCTCTGAGTGGCCAAAAAACGTAGCTCTTTTTATTGTCCCTCCCTGTCCTTGACTCTCCATCCTCCTTTGTGTAGGGGATGGGGTGGTCTCAGGGGCCTGACACTAGTATCACACAGTGTCAGTGTGCACAGCACAAATTAAACATACTGCAACCATGCGCTCACCTGTTGCCTTATTCACGAGAGTTAAAAGCCTAAACTGAGGCTTTCCCAACTGGGACTGATTCCCTGCCTGGTAGAATGAAAACTGGGGAGTTGGAGGCCTCTCTGACTTCCTTCTTGCCTGTGAGGTGGTTTGGTTTCCCCCAAGATGCGGTGCAGCTGGGTGATGGGGAGGCCCCAGTGCTTGCCACCACAGGAGGAGTCTGCTGAGCTATAGAGGATGATTGTAGACAGTCGGCCCATGGCTTCTCCCAGCCTTGCTGACACAGTTGTCTTTGAGGACATCTGTCTGGATGTCCTGGTCACCAGAGCAGCAATGGTTCACCTGCTGGGAGACTTGGACAGGTGGGATATTGGGGCACAGCACGGGGGAAGCTAACATTCAGTGAGTACCACTGTGTACCTGGCATTGTACCAAAGGCTGCTTCAGACTTCACTTGCGACAGGTGTCTCTTCTCACAGGCCTGCCAGCCAAGCGCTGGTGTCCCCACTGTATTGCTGGTGTCCCCACTGTACCGATGAAATAAGCCCCAGGAGGGAAGTTCCTGGCCCAAGGGCACAGAGCTGACACGTGATGGCTTCCACCCTAAACTCCAAGCTGTTTCCTGTCACTTCAGGAACACCCCATAAGATACGGTTCCCTAACTAGTGGCCCCGTGTGAGGAATGGGTACACATTGTGACTCCACTTCCCAGTGCTGAGTGCCAGTGAGTGAGGTGTGAGGGGCCAGACAGGAATGACCTTTCTGAACACCTTGAGAACATCTGCCCTCTTTCCTTGTCCTTCCAGCAGTCTCTGTGAAAGTCTAGCTTTTAGTGGGGCCCCCAGGAGGGATTTATGGGGGAATCTGAGAGTTCAGCACTCAGTGTGAATTCATGGGTAAAGCTGATCGAGATTAGGACAAAGGGAAGTTTGCTACCCAACCCAGGTCTAGCCTGAGCAGGCTTCATTCTTCATCTCAGGCTACCTCCAAAAGGCTCAGTCCCTGCCGTGGGAGGTTCGGGGGCAGCACACAGACCCTGCCTCATAGTGGCTGTGTCCCTACACGGGTACCCACATTTGGGACTTGAGGTCCTTGGTTGGTCCTGACCTGTCTGGGGACTGGGATTGTCTCATGCTCTGCTATAGCTGTCAACTGTGGCAATTCCCACTTACATTGTAGGAGCCTCATTCCCCAGTGGTAGAATGGGGTCTAAACTAATATGCAGAACAGAGGCTGAGGGGCAGGGCGGAGTGGACAGGGAGAAGCAGAGGTAGAAAGTTGGTATGGAACTGGTTGGGATTGTTGTGAATTATGAGTCTTTGTAAGGCAGCCCTGTGGTCAGTCATTAGACTCCTAGCCAGGCACAAACAGGAATGATAATATTCTTTGTTTTTATTTTTTTGTTTTTTTCCTTAATACAGCAAACCAGCAAGAAAGGCCAAGGTGGGCCGGGGATTTAGCTCAGTGGTTTTGCTGCCTGCTGCGCAAGTGCAAGGACCTGAGTTCAATCCCCAGTACCAAGGAAAAAAAAAAGGCCAAGGCTGCTAAGGTCTGGCTGCAGCCCACAACCTTGATTTGACCACAGTAGGCCTGGGAGCCTGAAGGGAGGCTACTCTCTGAGGCCACTGAGTCCAGGCAGGAACCCCTTAGTATCTTGGGGGATCATTTCCAGGACCCCCATGGATACCATAATCCACACATGCTCAAGACTCTCAGATAAAATGACCTGGTATTTGCTTATAATCTATGTACATCCTCCTATATGCTAAATCATTTCTAGGTTACGTACAATAAGGTAAATAATATGTCATTCTTGTGTTGTTCATGGACTAATAAGGAAAAAATGTACATGTTCAATTTTTCTTCCTGAATACTCTTGATTGCAGTTGGTTAAATTCACAGGTGCAGAACCCACAGATTTGGAGGACCAACTGTATTACCATAAACAGCATTTTACAAACCAATCAGCACCTCAAGAACCACCAACACATACCCAGCAGATCCTGTGGAGTGGGGGCTGGAAGGCTGTCTTCGGAATCCTAATTTATTTAGATTTGTACTGGAAAATTTGGAGAGCAGATGACATCAGGACTAAGGCCCATCTAAGATGCCCTTTACAAGCCTGATCCTAGGCAATAAAGAGGCCGAGTGATGGACCTGATGCGGGCAACCTCACAAGGCCTCTTTGAGTGTGTGAGGGATGGGCCAGTTGGGTCTGGTACAGACTCTACCATCTGTAGGTACTGATCATCTCACAAATGCCTGGAGATGTGAAATGAACATGACATAGTCCCTGCCCTCAAAGGGCTCAGCTTTGTGTTTCAGTGCATTCTAATCGTTGGATAAGGAATACACCCTATTTGGCAGGGACAGGGACTTAGTTGTTTGGAATATTCTGTGGTCTACAGAATATAGCTGGATGCTTTCTCTCTTAGTCTAACTTGAGGCTGGGTAACTTATAACAAACAGAGATTGGCTGGCTGGGATGTCCAGGAGCTAAGTGCCTGCATCTGAGCAGGGCCTTCTTGCTGCATCACAACACAGTGCAGAGCATCACACGTCGAGGAAGTGCTTGAAAGACCCCTGAAATCCAGCCAGACTCATCCTATCATGAGGAGCCCACTCCCAAGATAAATACCTCACTCCCTTGACCAATTGACTCTACAGGTTTCCACCTTTTAACCCTGTTACAATGGCAATTAAACATCAGCATGGGTTTGAGAAGGGAGATTGGCCTGATCTCTGACCACTAGAAATCAACCCAACACAGCATGTTACTGTGGAGGGAGGGCCAAGCAGAGAAAACCTACCCCTTGGAGTCTAGAATGATCTCCTTAGACCACCAACCTGACCGTGTCCCTCTTCAGTGTAATGCCCATCCCGAGCTCCCTGTCACCTGCAGGACATGGCCTGGCTCTCCATGGCATACGAAGCCCTGTGTGACCCAGCCCAGCTACCTCTCCCAGCTTGCTGGCATCCCTGTCTCACTCTTGACTCTAGTGATACTAAACTGGTTTTGTTTTGTTGGGACAGGGTCTCAGTATGTAGTTCAGGTTGGCCTTGAACTCAGTAAGTAGCCCAGTCTGGCCTCAAACTTTTGACGATGCTCCTGCCTCAGCCCCCTGAATGTTGGGATCACAGGTGTGCAACACCATGCCCGGCTGACACTGAATTGTTGAATTTACTTAAACATGCCACACTGTCCTCTGTCTTGGCTCATTCTGATCCTACCTCTGTTGCCCTCATCAGTCTGTCCCCACCTGGCTAACATCCATTCCCCTGTAAGCTCAGCTGGAGGTGTCTCCTCCAAAAAAGCTTCCAGGGCCCTCTCTGGCCTCGCCTCAGGCATCCCTTGCCTGAGATTCCAAAGTACATTCTCTTGCCTCCATTCCTGCTCTAAGCCATGTTGTTCAGGTCACAGGCAGGGGCTGTATCATTTTGTTTCTAGGGGCCCCGATGAGAGCTGCACGTACTGATCTCCTCTCATCCTCACCCAGTGTTTATATTATTCTTGCTTTTTTTTTTTTTTTTTGGTACCAGGGATCGAACTCAGGTACTTGCTCTTGCAAGGCAGGCGGTGAAACCACTGAGCTAAATCCCCGCCCCTTACATTATTCTTACTTTTAATAAAAGGAACTGAAACCTAGAGAGGTTGAGTATCTTGCCCAAATACATGAGAGGGAGAGGATTAAAACCCAGGCACTCGGACTCTGGAGCCTAAGCTCTTAGCCACTGAATGTCTGTGGTAATGAATAAAGCAATGAATGAAACCATAGGTGTGGAGGAAGTGACCTTGGAGGGCTTCGGAGGAGTCTGGTTCCAGCCCACTGAGGAGAGCCATGACCTAGTTGGAAGGAGTGAGGGGAGGGCCTCTAGGGGCTGGGGACCAAGAAGGATGAACTGTGCAGGAGTGACGTCGTGATGAGCAACCTGTCCAAGCTCTGAGGACTCCACACAGGGAAGTCTGGGCAGTGCCACTGGTGGTGACAAGTGGTCTAGTGTGGGACCCCAAACACTGGCTTTCTGTCTGGACCTGGCTCTACTGCTATGTGATCTTAATTCAGAGATTTGTCCTCTCTGGACCTATAAAAGGAGCAAGTTGGGTTAGAAGCTCTCCAGGGCTCTGTTCAGCTCAGATATTTTGCATGTCCACAAGATGGAGAGTGGATGGGGGACCAGAAGGGCTTTTAGAGCCCCTCCTGTGGGCTGCAGGCCAGAGAGATGAGGTGCACCCACAGCCTTCTGAGAAAGCGGGGAGCTCAGCATATTTCCTCTCTTAATTAGATAGCGGTAACTTATCAGTTTTGAATGAGATAAGTTTCCGTGCATGATGTCCCGAATTGCTCCCCAAAGTGTTCATTAGTCACTTCCCCACAGCTGCCTTATTGTTTTCCAGATGCCAGCCGAGGGACTTGGCATTTCCCTTTCCTGAGCCAGGGCAGACGAGGCTGAGCCGATGACATAAGCAGGCACAGCTCAGAGGGGCTGAGCAGGTGGGAGAGGCTCCGCATATTTTGCCCTTTGCCCCGCCAGAGCTATGGTGTCACCTTAGGGCTCTCAAAGGCAGATTCCTCTGCAGTTGGGCCAGGACTCTGGCGGCCCACAGTTGAACCAAACATTTATTAGCATTTACTGTGCCAGACACCTGGCATCTGTAACCTGAATGCTCCCTAGGGCTGGGGGCAAAATTGAGGTCATTTTACTGCTCAAGTCACCATAATCGCGGGCCCCGCGCCCCCAGTTTTCCCTCTTTAAGGTACATCTTGGGGAGGTGCTGCGCGCAAGCTTGCAAAAGGCCCTCCCACACACACTTCCTGTCTGCTTTTCCCTTTCTACCCTGCCCCAAAACTGGAGCTCCTATGCTGCCTCCTGTGCTGCAGTCTCTTTCATGACCCCCAGATGGCGCTGTGCCCCCATGGTTGAGGGAGTCGGAAGTCTGGGGAGAAACTGAGGTTGTGCACCCAGAGCCAGTGCTTTTCTCTCTTCCCTGAGGCCTGAGGGAAGCGTCGGGGG